GTTCATTGTGGGGGTTATGGACACCCATGGGTGTGGGTAGGGTTCATTGTGGGTTCTGGGCACCCATGGGTGAGGGTAGGGGGGGTTCTGGGCACCCATGGGTGGGGGTAGGGTGCATGGGGGGCTTCTGGGCACCCATGGGTGGGAATAGCGTGTATGGGAGGGTTCTGGGCACCCATGGGTGGGAGTAGGGTGCATGGGGGGTTCTGGGCACCCATGGGGGTGTGGGACTTACATGAGAGGTGGGTGCTGAGCTTCTCCTGGGGGTGCATGGAGCATGTGGGGCCACCCCCAGTGCTGTGGGATGGAGCTGCGGAGGGTGCTGAGCACCCATGGGTGGCACCAGGCACCCAGGGAGGTGCCGCAGTGACCCACAGAGGGCTTTTTGGGGGGGGTGCAGCACCCTGACACCAGCGATGGCGAGGCCAGGACATGCCTGGAAGCGCCGGCCATCGGATGAAGATGAGGAGGAGGAGGACCCGTTGGATGCCATGATCTCGCGGACGGGCTGCGCGGCGCAGCACCGGGCGCTGCAGGAGTGCATGGCGGCGCGGCAGGACTGGCGGCACTGCCAGCCCCACGTCCGGGCGTTCGGGGAGTGTATGGCCCGGAGACAGCGTCCCCAGGAACCACCACGGGGGTCCAGCTCCCACCAAACCCACCCGGCACCCAACGGGGACTGAAAGCACCGGGGACACCCCCCCAGTTCCCGGTCAGTTCGCCATCCCCACCCAAAATTGGGTGGTTGCACCGTTTGACCCCTTTTTTGGTGTTTTTTATTCCATTCCGCGGAATAAAATCCAGGCTACGTTGTTGGGAAATGAAATTTGGTGGTGTTCCTTATCCTGGCCAAAATCTTCCTTCTCCGTCTGCGCCACCGTCATCAACCAGGAGCTCTGAGGGGGCAGTTGTGGGGTGAGACAGAATCCCACCAGAATGATCTGGGGTTGGAAGGGACCTCTGGAGATCATCCAGTCCAACCCCCTGCCCAGGAGGCAGCAATGGGCCCTGGTGGCCAAGAAGGCCAAGGGCATCCTGGGGGGCATCAGGAAGAGTGTGAGCAGCAGGTGGAGGGAGGTCATCCTGCCCCTCTGCTCTGCCCTGGGGAGGCCCCATCTGGAGCACTGGGACCAGTTGTGGGCTCCCCAGTTCCAGAAGGACAGGGAACTGCTGGAGAGGGGACAGCAGAGGCTACAAAGATGCTGAGGGGACAAGAACATCTCTCTGCTGAGGAAAGGCTGATGGAGAGGGTCCAGAGAAGGGTCACAAGGATGATCAGGGGGATGGAGCACCTCTGCTACGAGGACAGGCTGAGGGAGCTGGGGTTGGTCAGCCTGGAGAAGAGGAGGCTCCGGGGAGACCTAATAGCTGCCTTCCAGTACCTGAAGGGGCCTACAGGAAGGCTGGGGAGAACCTGTTTAGAAAGGCCTGCAGTGACAGGACGAGGGGCAATGGCTTCAAGCTGGAGAGGAACAGATTTAGACTGGAGATGAGGAGAGGGTTCTTCACTGGGAGGGTGGTGGAGCACTGGAACAGGTTGCCCAGGGAGGTGGATCGGCTCTTGAAGTCAGCTTCTGTGTGCTGTGAGGGAAGAAACAAGAAAACTCAAGCAAATCAGAATCACTTCTTGAGTATTTTTTGAAATCCAGTGAAAGACAAAGAGAATCAATAAAGAGTGGGGAAACCAAAGGGTTAAATGTCCACTGAACCCTGGGGGGTGGGGAAATGCCTGGTGGAAAGTCACTGGAGGCCACCATCTCACAGGCAGATTGACCCTGGAAGGTGGTGGCAGAGCTTTTAAACCTTCTCACATTGAGACTCCATGAGGAGCAGCTCCTGGGGGCAAAGCACAGAGGGCAGGAAGCTTCACCTTGAAGGTCCCTTCCAACCTAGATGAGTTTATGATTGTGGCATCAACCGAGCGTGGAGTCACGGCCATGCTTTGTCACCCCACAGGCTCTAAAATTCAGCATTGTAGGCTCCACCTCACAACAACCCCAGGCAGCGCTACAGGCTGGGGGCAGAGTGGCTGG